AATTTTGGGTCAACAAAAAGCATTCGAGTAGGCAAACACTTGCTGTTAGAATAGTTTAAAATACGTGTTTTAAATTTTCATGTTTTTTGTAGATTAACTTTAATAGCAATCGGTACAAATGAAAATTAGTTGGCTTGATTCAATAAACGGACTCCACTCACTTACCCTATGATGTGACCATTAGTCTTAATAACGGTGTGATAAAGTGTTTTGAAAATGTATTTTGTCTGCTACAAAATATAGTGACTTCTAAGATGAAGAATGATAGTGAATTCAACTCTTTAAGACATTTTACTTATACTTAATAAACTTGCACTTAAAAGTAATCAAAAGTTGGATGTGGGAACTGTGATAACTTCTTGTTTGTTGAAACAACTTTCAAACGACATTTAAAATCGTTTGCTTTTACATAAGACAGCAAAAAAATATATTTTGGCATCCTCTGACGAAAGTAAGAACATTTTCAGCGAAAACGAATCTAAAGAAAACGCTTTCCGTGCAAACATCTTCGCCTGACTGAAGAATCTGGCACAAATCTAAAGCAAACCTTACTTAGTCTCTAGCTAAATCAGCGATTCCCAATTAGAGTTAACTATGGACCACTTAAAATCGTTTGTGTTCGCCATGGACCACTATACTAAATAAAAAAATTAAACCCCTGGACAAATTAATAAACCGTTCGTTTTATACATAAAGGATATATTTTGTTTTATATGACCTCCATATCCATATAATCTTTGATAATAAAAGAATTGCGAATCCATGCCTTACTTCTGTCAGGAAGTGGAAAATATTCTCTAAAGGTGCTTCTTAGATTTGCCAAATTTGACACATGATTAGTTGTGCTTCCTCATTTGGAAATGTATCTTTAGACATGCTTAAAAATGTTGACAAGTTTTGAAATGGTGGAATCATTTCCGCTTTTGAGTCGATTCTCCCATAATTCCAGTTTCAAAGCAGTTGCTTTAATCTTGTCTTCTACCTGGAAACAATTTACCTGTACACCTTGTAATTTTACATTCAAATCATTGAGATGAGTAAAGATGTCGGATAAGTACGCCAGTTTGATAAGATATGTACAATTATTTAACTTTTCTGTGGAAAGTTTATCAGAGCGATGTGATTGAAAACGTTGTTCTTCCATTAAGAGTACATTGACTTCTTTACGTAATATCCAAACTCGACCCAGTGCTTTCCCATCGAAAGCCACCTTACAATTCGTAAGCAGTATTGTATGCAGAATTGTATGCAGTATTATATGCGATCAGTAGCCGAGTATTCAGCGCTCTACTTTTAATAAAATTTATTATTCTGATACACTTCGTAAGATCGCTTTTAATTCTGCAGGAATTCTTTTTGTAACCAACGCTTCTCGATGTATAGCGCAATGGTACCACTCTGCAGATGAAGATACTTGCTTTATTCTCACTTTCAGACCTGTTATTCTTCCGGACATAGGTTTGGCACCAGCTGTGCTTACATTAACACATTTCGCCCAATAGATTTTATTTTTATTGAAAAACGTATTTAATTTTTCAAAAATTTCTTCTGCGGTGGTGTTAATTATGAAATCTACAAAGAACAGGTCTTCGAGAACGGCATCTTCATGCTTGTATCTCACACAATACAATAAAACTGCCTTACTAGTTACGTCGATTGTTTCATCCAACTGTATAGCAAACCAAGGTGATACACGAACTCTTTGTATTAATTAATCTTTTATGTTTTCTGCCATACTTTGAATTCTTCTTTGCACTATATTGTTTGTGTATCGCCAATTATTGCAGACACCATAATATTTGCTGCTGGTAATATGAGATCTTCAGCAATAGTATGAGGTTAAACTTTTTGAGCTATTAGTTGACATACCTTAAAGGAGGCCATTATGACTGAATTGTTTGATGCTGGTATGGCAATGTGGGACACGTTTCTTTGAATGTTCTTCAATTATTGTTCTTTCTTTTTAAAAAAATCCGTGTTTTTTTTTTACTGAAACTCTGGGTACTTTGTTTCAAAATGATGTCTTAACTTACTTGGTTTAATAGAATCATTTGCTAGAATCTGGCTGCAAATAACACACTTCGGTCGTGTTTTGCCAGATTCCGAGGACAGAAATTCTGTAAAACCAAACTATAAATATTCTGCGCCGTACTGACGGACCTTCTTCTTGACAGGAAGAGTAGCCATGTAATTTCGATAACGGGAAAAAATAGTTTCACCAGTGCCCTCGTTATCATAATCGCTTCTTGTGTCACCTAAACAAGTACCGCCACTTACACCTTGATTCTCCGTTTTTTGTAATTTCGGAATCAACCCACGTTCCATTGCTTTATAATGGTAAGCAATATTGCCAAATAAAAATGTCAATATTGAATTTGGTTACTTCATTTCTTCTTTACACGATTTTTGCGAACCTTCACTAAGAACGAACACGAACACATACCTATATTTAAAAGAAAAAATAGAAAGAAGAGTTAACGTCAAAGTAGTCGCTAAGAAACAAAATAGGAAACTTAAAAAATCCCCCAACCTCCATACCCAAAATATCCTAAAAAACGTTACATATTTCTTCTGAGAGTAATATTAATCTTAATCTAAGTATGCAATTAATTAATTTCGTATGTTGTAGTTTCAATTTTTACCTCTTTGTAATTTATTTGCCTACATTATTTTTCACAAATACGCCGTGGACCCTGAGTATTGTGGCAGTAGCCCCCTGGGGTCCAGGCACACCTTATTGGGAATCGCTGAGCTAGATCAAGACTTATCTGTTTTCACATTTTTCCTTGATCTTTCCTACGCCTTTATTGTATCTTAGGCAACATGTTGCCTCTGATTGTATTTTGCTTAATGTATCTTGTAGGTTCTTCTATTTTTCATGTGATTTTGGCTCCTTATACCACTTTTCAAGTTTATTTTTTAATTAACAGTAGGTACCATTACATATTTTAGTTTATCAGCAGTATTACTGCTTTCAGATTCTCAGTCAGACAAAGTTTTACAAATTTTCTAGAAGTAATGAAACAATTACAATTGATTGCAGATTTTTGTAACAAAATTTTTTTTGGTTCAGAAATAGTTGAACCTAAGATTTTTTCAATAAAATATTAATAAGCTATCAAGCATATTGTACTAAACCTAGAACTAATACTAGACCTAGAACTAGATACATTCGGATTAAGCCGTGCATTTCTGGAAAAAGTGTTTGAAGTATCGGATGCAATGATGCAACATTCTTCAGAACCACACCAAAGCCTTTTCTGGAACTAATCGGGCATGATTTAGTTCTGAAAGAAGAATTTCTGACCATTGACTATTAAAGCAATATAATCCTGCAAAACTGCATAAGTGGGGTTAGAAAAATCAGGTTTGAATGGTGTGTTATGCTTTATTTATAATTTTTAAATGTTTGCTGGAGAACGAAGCTTTACACATCTTTCAGATAGGCGTCAATTCAAATGCATCCATAATAATACCATCTATAAGCAAATCCCATGCGGATTTATTATGTTTCATTATTTGAAAAATACTAAAAACTGAAGATTTGAACGAAGTAATAAAGAAATATGTCACCTTTTCAATAACCTACCCTCGTGCAACTAATAACCTGTATACCCATTAGTGCCTGGCTTAAACTATTCGCCGGAAAAAATTGAAATTGAATAAAATCGATTAAAATAACTCATTTTGTATATTTCCTTTTTATCGCCCAGCAGTTGGTTTTTGTATGAACCATTTCTCGCTAATCTACCATCTTGTATTATTCATCGATCACCTGACGTTTTTACGCCGGTTATTACATGAAGAAATACGTCAAATATGCCGGACGCAAAGCGATTATGTGTACATAAAGTAATAATTGGTTTGAAATTTTCTCTGTGGTGACCTGTGCTGTCAATTAAATTAACAACCGAAATCGATATACTCCTGGGAATTTACGAGTTTACATTACAATATTTTCGTTTTCAAAACAAACAATTTAATTTAATTTTACCACCCAGGCGAGAAAAATTACTTACTAATCACTCTGTATATATTTAATAAGATATACCGAAAGATTTGAGGGGTGAATATCGATGTTTCGTAAAAAAAATTGAAATTCAAATCAGAAATTTATGGCTGCAAATTTATGCAGGAATAAATCTAATTCTCGTATATTTTTTGCCCTATTTTTTAACTACTCTATACTGTACGTATAGATGGGAACGTTCCCCTTAAATCCAATTTAGTTGTTAATTGATGTGTTCCTCTTTACCCAGCTGTTTCACTAAAATCCGCCACCTGTGTTGAATGTAATAAAATATAAAAAATTGCATGATATAAAAGAAATTTACCCTAATTATCTAAATTCTCGCTTAAAATAAAAACAAGTAGAATTTGATTTAAACCTAAAACTACTTTATAATTTATATTAACTGTGTGTGTTTAATATTTTCGTGGAAAACGATAATTGTATGGGTCGTTAACGGCTTTACAAGTCATATCTAAAAGGATATACGAATCCGAAATATACATAAATACAAGCGAAATCCATGAATAACACATCGAAATCGCAACCCTCAGGATTCTGAATTATTGCGCATTCAGCATTGTCATCGTTGCAATAAAGCATAACTTTTATGCTCTGGTGAATAGGAAAAATTGCGTTGTTGAATGTCGTATACAATCTATCATTAATAAATTCTTAACAATTATTATTTTGTAATACATGCAAAATGATTTGATGATATTTAAAATGCCATTAGATTATAATCTGAAATGCAGATGAGTGGGTTTAATTTTGAATATAATTTTTAAGTTTAAATAAAAAATAATTTTTTTTTGACAACTTTATTAGGTAATAAATTTACGATGATTTAATAAAATTGATATTAAATTGTAATCAATGATTGGCCAACAATTTGCAGTAATTAAGTCCTATATTTCTTAAAATTTCAAAATGAGAACCAATATTTTTTATTTGACCTTGCGTATGTTTTTAACCTTCGTTTTTGTTTCAGAATACGCTGGGATTTCAAGAACCAGAGCCATTCAACAAACCGCAAGAAGTCAATTTAACGTAGGGGACAATTTTACAGCCCCTGCAATACCATTTGGCCATGTGCACGCCGGTATACAAATCATGTAAATTATTTTGCACCTTATTAACATTTACATAAACACACCAAACTAAATTTTCCTTTATCTAGATTATATTTCCTTTTATCTCTCTATATCCGTATGTGTCCCATATCTTCCGGATCAGAGCATTATACGGTTGAAGGATACATTATTCTGAAGCGATTTTTCTAATAAAAATTTGTGAAAATGTTTATAATATTTAATGTCGTCCAATATTAGATCGTATATCAGACCCAGGCAATCTATGCCTAAATAAATCTATGCTAACAAAGAATTCTTATCTTTTTCGATGTAGTCTTCTTTAACTTTACCTTTAATTTCTTCACCAATATACGATAAATGACTTTTATAATGCCTAATGTTCAAATAGTTAAACGCAAACAACTTACCGATTTTAATAAAACCGCTTTTATAAAACGCAATAGTTTTTAATGATATATTAATTATGGCTCATCTTGCTGGTACATCTTAAAATTATGGGGTAAAAGAATATTCTAAGAAAACATTTTACTGAACTTTGAAATAAAGGTGTGAATTAGAACCTTAGGAAGATTAAAATTATAAAAACCCAATTCCTGTTTATTGTTTCTATTTACAACAAATTATCGTTTAGAAATAAGACGGTAATAAATGATAATTAAATATAATCACAAAGTTTTTTAATAAATGCGTCTCACAATTTAACGAAAGCGCAATTTTACTGTTTATACAATCTAACGATGTTTTTACATAGTAACTATAACAACCAACTTACAAAAAGTTATTTTACTTATTTAGTATAGAAAATGCTATTGGAGTAAAAAATTAAGTAAATTTAATTTTGTTACAATAATACTCAATACATAATAGTAAATAATTTGTTTCGGGATTACAAAGATAAAAAAAATGTTAAGAATTAAGTAAACAATCAAGTATTATTTTTATATTTTTACCATTCCGATGTTGTTGGATTCGTGTGGATTCTGCAATTCAATTAATCATAAAACTGGCAGAATTCGAATTTAAGAGTAAACAGACGTATGTACATGACATTTTCTGATTAATAATTCAACTTTAAGCTCACGTTCCGCATCTAAAATAAACGGTTGACGTCAAAACTTAACGTAATTTATGATCGTTGTGTAATTTCTCGAGGACACTTCTCGATCAATTTTTGTTTTGCAACGAAAAACATAATCATTTATCGTGTGTTTTGGAAAAATAAACGAAATACGTTGAAAGACGATTTATTAGGAAAATTAATAACTGTAAAGTTTTCTGAAATTAAAAAAAAGTTATCAAAAAAATGAATATACCGGGTGTCCCTCAAAAGTGGCTCAGCCCCATATTTTTTTTTATTATTAGTGATATAAGAAAACCATTTGGAATGCATAATTAGGCCGTTAAAACGGGTTATTACAACAGGAAATCATTTTCTTTGTGTTTCCGGTTATACCGGAAGTGAGTACTAATTTCGCTATTTTTTTAAATCTATAATTTTTTTTTCTTCAGTTGAGCAGACAGCATAATTTCACATAACTTTTACATGAAAAAATTTTCACTCGGAAAATGTATTACAATATTTGACGCATAGTAACTAGGTTAATAGTATAAACTACGTTATGTTCCTCGTGATTTACTATTTCTCGATCAGCTATGCTTTAGTCAGTGGTTCTTTTTTAATATGGTGTAAATTAACAGTTGTATTAAATTAGTTTTAAAAGAAAAAGTCGAAACAACAAGTAAATTTAATTCAATTATAAGTACAAAAAAACTAATTTTCTAAATGCACCCCGCCTCGATTTTGACATAATTGTATCTTCCGTATTGTCGATCTAAAAACTCGACATAATTCCTGCGGAGATATTTGGGTAATACAGTTTCTAACACGATTTTCTAATACCTCACGAGACCTTACAGGTGTATTATACACCTCATTTTTTATTTTGCCCCATAAAAAAATATCTAAAGGTGTGAGGTCAAGTGATCTGGAAGGTAAAGAGATAGGAATAAAGAGAAATGTGAGAAAGAACCGGCTTGTTCTCACCGTGGTGGCCACTTTATTGGTCCATTATTACCAATCCAATCGTTATTGTACTTTCTGTTTAAAAAATCAGTAACCACTCTGCTGTTGTGAGGTGGGGCGCCGTCTTGTTGGAAAATTAGTCCATTATAAGTTCCAACTGGTAGGTTCTGCAGCAAATCCTCAATTCCATTATTAAGGAAGTTGAAGTATCTTTCCCCTGTAAGACGACCATCAAAAAATATTGGACCCACCACTCTTTCTCCAATGATTCCCATCCAACAATTAAAACCAAATCTTTCTTGGAAATTGCCTTCCTCCATCAAATATAAATTTTCTTGTGCTCAATACCTTTTATTATTTCGATTAAACATACCCAAGTTAGTAAATCGACTCTCATCTGTATACAGAATTTTGAAAGAAAATGCATTATCGTTTTCATATCTTTTTAAATACCAATTACAATACGGAAGTCGTCTTTCATAATCATTCTCGTACAAATGTTGATGTAATTGGTATTTGTAAGAACGAAGTTTATGGTTATTTAAAATCCTCCACACCGACGTTTTTGAAATTTCGCACTGTATCGCAATCTCCCTAATTGATGCACTGTTGTTATTTTCGATACATGCCAAAACATTTCGTTCCGTATCGCCACTTACAATGTATCTAGGGTTTCCATTATTGACCGGCTCTGTTTGAATTTTCGCCACAATTTTTGGAAAGTAGTGCCCTGTTGGGTGGCGACGCACTATGGGCAATTTGAGTCGTTGGCTCAAAATGGATTTTGGATAAATGGGTTTTTCGAAAGTCGGAATTTATTTATTTTTTTAATTGAATCCTATAGTAGAAATGTCAGATTTTATTAATTAACATAAATTTTATTTTTATATGACGTATTTAAGTAAAAAAAAATTATCAAAGTTTATATGTCTCTGATTTCACGTATTTCGGTTATTTTTGTAGTGATTTTTAACGACTGCTAATATAAAGTTTTAGTGTGAAACCTATATAACGTCATATCTTCCCGAAAAGGTTGTTCAATGGAGAACCTAATTCAGGTATCAATAAATAATTTCATCGTTGTATTTTAACAATAAACGCGGGATTATCCGATGCCATCAATTTCGAGATTTCTTTAACTTTAGCTAGAGTTTTAGCAGTTAGCGATGTTTAGCGATGGTCTAAAATATATATNTTACTTGTTAGCGTTTTTCTTTTAAAACTAATTTAATACAACTGTTAATTTACACCATTATTAAAAAAGAATCGCTGACTAAAGCGTGGCAGTGATCACTGCTCGAGAAATAGCAAATCAAGAGGAACATAACGTAGTTTATACTATTAACCTAGCTACTATGCGTCAAAAGTAGTAATACATTTTCCAAAGATACTAATACTTTTTCAAAAATTATAAGCGATCGTGAAAATTTGTTCAAGTAAACGTTATGTGAAATTGTGCTGTCTACTCAACTGAAGAAAAAAAAATTTATAGATTTAAAAAAATAGCGAAATTAGTACTCACATCCGGTATAACCGGAAGTACAAAGAGTATGATTTCATGTCGTAATAATCCGTTTTAACGGCCTAATTATGCATTCCAAATGGTTTTCTTATATCACTAATAATAAAAAAAAATATGGGGGTGAGCCACTTCTGAGGGACACTCGGTATAAATAATTATATTAAAAAACTACTAATTACTACGTTTGTTTTTTCTTCATTCATTTTATAATTGATCGAAAGTAACCCAATTGTTTGAAAAATTGCAAAGGAGAAGGATTTGTTAACAAAATTTGTTAATAAAATGTTATTCCTATTTAACCATTTAGCTTTTTGAAGCTAGTTAATATAAAATTAGTCCATGATTTTGAGCCCTTGACCTTGAGTGTCGAACATATTTGAATGATGTTTGCAAAGTGTAATTGATCTGACTGAAATAGCAAAAACCAACGATTAAAGCCTATCTTTTAAATATTGATCTATGAATCAAAGCTTGTTTACGCCTAATCTATCGTACACTATACAAAATATGTCGTTGCATAAAGTATCAAATCTTCCTGAGATTGTTGGTATAAAGGTTAATTAAATATGCAATATACAAAAATAAATGTCATACCAATTAATTAAAACTCAGGTCACAGTTCACTGTGTATACGTAATTAATACTATCTTTATTTGATATAAGATTTATATCGATTATTTTAGAGGTCAACGGTGTAATTATGAAATTACAAAATAAGTCAACGTAGTATGTTGTTTTATACAATCCATAAAAATTTATTATTCATTCATGTTCAAAGCAATTTGTAGTTATATTCACATCATCTTTTTATGTCAACGAATGGGGCATAAATTAAACAATTTTATTTTGTTTCACTGTAATTTAACACATTTATTAGCTTTGAAAATATTATTGGTTCTCAACTCCCATCCTAAATTCAATTTTAGAACCAACCCTCTCTCAATGTTTTTCCAAACGTATTTTGCTTAGTGGTTTTGTTAATTAAATTAGTCCGCTTGTTGATCTTCAGTTCTATTATATTTTATATCTACCTCTCCAACTTCGGTCTTTTGTTGTATTTTTAATTCGCATAGATAATAGTTCTTTTTATCTTAATTAGTCTACTTTTTTTCAAAATATGATTTAATCAGTGTGGTTCATTTACAGGTAAACGTTATGTATGTTATCGATAAGTTTAATACACAGCAAGTTAAATTCGTGAATTCTATTGGAATTTTGTAGACTTTAATTATGTCGTATTTGATTACTTCTTCTATTGGAATAAGAAAAGAATCGTCATGAATTTTTCATCTTGATGTTTATGGTAATAAACAGACCCCGGACAATTTAGGAAAGTGTTTCTTAAACGCCCTTCACTCCAACCTCAATGTTGAAAGCGAAATAACGCACGCTGTTATCCCACCATTCACTTCGTGTGAAAGGGCGTACGTTTCCTAAACTGTCAGGGATTTGGTATAAAGGCTGAGGAACAACAAGGTTTGTAATCGCAGATAAGAAGATATTAAAATGTTCAGTTTTGGCTTTAGAATTGCAATTTTTAACCAAAATCTTGCACATATTTTGGATACAAGTATGACGCGAATCAACTTACCTAACTGATTTTCAGCTTTACTTTATATTCCAAGTCTTAATTTCATTAGAATGAATACCAATCAGATGTTAGACCATTTCTAGTGTTTCCTTCTGAAAATTGCTTCCATTTTCGTATTTAAGTTATATAAATTTATCAATACTATGTTTGAGTAATTGAATTTCATCAAATAATAAAATGTAATTAAAACTTAAATGTTTCGAAGTTAATAACCTTCGCCAATTTTTACAATTCAATAAAACGCAATTTTTTATTATTATTTTAATTTTTCGGAAAACGTTTCGCGTTTTAATTTCCGTTATCAATTTAATAACACAGTTACGAAATAATTTACATATTATTATTTATGGATGCAAATTGTTTAAATTATCTGACATAAATAAGATAATTTGAAAGATATTTTGTAATCAACAGCCATAAAAACATAATAAGATATCCGGATGCATTGCTAATTGGTCGAAATTCTTTTAAAGATCAAGATTAACAAACTCGGACGTCAGCGAAAATCTTAAAGCGAGACCTTATCTTTAACTTTCTTTCGTTTTGCTTTGCTTTTTTACAGAGTGGGCACCGGGCCACGGGAGGTACTCCCACGGCATGGAAGTTGAGGTCAGAGAGGATGGGGCAATCAGGACGGATTCTGCAGCGATTCTTGTCAATATCACTCCTGCTTACCCCGTCACAGGTAGGTAAATACCAAACTAAAAAGACCTTTTGAAAGACATCTTCGAAAACAACTTTAATTGAGCACCGCGATAATGAACTTGAAACTGTAAAGTGAGAGGAAAGTCCACGTCTCGTTACGTCAACTTGGAGGATAACATCTTTAGTGGTTCTCTTTTATAACGCTGCCTTAAAATAAACAAAATAATAATAAACCTTTTATTCTTTTTATTCGGTAACAAAAGCTTTAAGAAATTTCTTCGAAAGTTTATCATAAAGTCAGCACCGTGATATAACAAGATGCAATCTTTTCGTTTCCGCAGGCGAGCGACCCCTCGCTTAAGTGCTCCTCTTAAGTGCTCTTCATTCCTTTTTGTTGTTTTTGCACGAGAACTAGCCCTGGTAATTAGTACGAACAGTTTTCGTTAAAAATTAAAATTGTTAAAAAATTTTAAAATCTTCAAAATTAATTAGTACATATTTATGAAAATTATAAAACGATTTTGCATTAGACTTTTTCAAAAACCGCACATAATCTAATTCTTTGATTAATTGAATCTCTTTTCTAAATCTTTGATTAATACCATTTTTGTCTGTACGTATCTAACGAAGTGATTATCGGTCTCCAATGCTAATCTAACTTTTCAAAGAAAATTCAATAATAGACATTATAAATCAAAAGCAACTAAAATGGTATGGAAATCTACGTCGAATGACTTAAGGTTTGGAACTGGATGCCAGCAGGAAAAAATGGATCAATGTGGAAATGAAGAGGGCAGGACTGGGTGAAGATGATTCTAATGACAAAGACCACTGGCGGTTAGAATACGAAAACCGGCAATAAAAAAAGCTGCAAATACTTACCAAATAAAAATAGAAACAAAAATCCTAATAAGTTAATTTATCGCAAAAAAGCTGATATCTTTCTAACCTTGATAAACCCTAACACTAGATTAGCTAAGCTATGCAATGGAAATCTACACTAACGCAAATGTCAATGACATGGATCAACATCTTAAGAGTCTTAGCATAGCTGTAGTGCAACTATGATCAGCACGAAAACCAGATTGCTGAACTGGTAACAAGTTGTTCTGTTTAATACAAGGGATTAATTGATTTTTCATTTCTTTTTCGAAGATTTTAGACATAGTTGGCAAAATACTGATCGGACGCAAGTCCCCATAATCAATTGGATTCTTTTTCTTTGATAATGGAAGCACAACAGCTCGTTTCCATTGATCAGGAAAAATATTTTCAACCAAACAAGAATTTAAAATGTGTGTCAAATACGGCAAAATAACAGAGCAACACATCCGAAGCATACTAATACCAACCAAGTCAGTCCCCATTGAGAAGAGCTTATCACTGAAATAATTTCCATATCCTCAGACGTGGTAACCGTACGAAATGAAAATACATTGGAAGTAAAAGCTGCAAACTCTTTATAGCAATCATCAGTCTCGTCCAACGTAATATCGTCAAGGATATATTGAACGTTATGAACAAAAAAACTATTTATGCCATTAGGATTCTGCAACTATGTGGGTAATTGACTGTTATTATGAGTCATAGAATTAATTTGCAAATGTTTCAAACCACCCCATCTCTGCTTAGAATCGCGTTTGGTCGAAATGTATTTGAAATAAGCTCTCTTTTCATTTTTAATAGCATTAGTAGTAAAGTTTTGCAAGTCCTTGTAATAGTTCCAATGTGAGGCATAGCCTGTCCTTCTGAATTTTGACTTTGCTCTGTCTCTTAGGCGCATCATAAACTTAATATTATCCGTTAGCCAAGCAGCACTAGGCTTTGTGAACTTGCATAAGCGTAAAGGAGCATGAACGTCAAAAATATTAATTATTTGTTGAGTAAAAAAGCAAACTTTGTCATTTATATCCTGCATATAAAATATTTTGTTGAAGGCTATATTACTTAAGTTAGATTTGAACGATAATTGATCAATATACTTTAGTGATCTGACCAGTTTATATAGAGGCTCTGTCATTAGGTTGCTCAGCTTACAGTCACAGTACACTAACTCGTGATCAGAAAAACCACAAGGCAACACACCACTGAGGTAAAGTGGTGTATAAAGTACTACACCACTTAAAGTATAAAGTATAAAGTACCAAACTGTAAAGAGTTGGATATATTAGGAGTTAACCAGGTTTCCGTCATCGCAAAAATATCAATATTGTTATCAAGGATTAAAGATTTTATTAGATTATACTTAGGAACTAATGATCTAACGTTCAAATGAGCTACGTTCAACGTTTTGTTATAATTTGACTGAAGACTTGAATCCCCCTCAAACCGGATACATCGAACATTTCTTCAAAAAAAGAAAAAGAAAAAGCTCAATAAGTACCAATTGATTATCAGCAATGCTAAGCTAAAACAAAAAAAATTGCTAAGCTAAAGAAAGCTAAATAACACAGGAATAACAAAATATAATAGCTTTTAAACCTTAGGTTTTCCAGCTTCAGATGTGGTGCTCTTCAGACCTTCATTATGATCAATTATGATTTTCTCATTGAAATATTATTGTTTATCATATCACATCTTATATTTAGTAAATTTAACAATTACATATTATTAAGTTATTTTGAATTTTCATTATGTTAATTCAGATAAAAGGCAGATACAACATATTTTGATGAAAATGCAATAACGGAATGTAATAATTATAAACATGTATGTAATATTTCACTTCTATACAAACTTATCTCAAAAATTGATACATATTTATGATTTTACCGTAACAACCGCACATCATATTTCATCAACTAGCATATTGCGTTTTTGAGTTATCATGTTTACATACGTACGTACAGTTATCAAAAAATAATATGTCGGGTCAAATACCCAACGTTGTTAGTTCCCATCTACTAGAATCGATATGACGAGGTGAGAGAATCGCGCCACACTCAGCCTGAAACGGTCCATAAATCTCATTTGTTTACAATTCATATTTTTCCGTTTTATTTAACTTTATTTACATTTTTGGTTGAACAGCGCAAGTTAATTTGTATCTGCCAATTTGAATTTTTAAATATTTATACTATTAAATATTTAACCACTGTTTTCATTACACTTTGGTTTATTTTGAGTACCTAGCTGCGATCTATATTCCATATTTTATGCTGTACAATATCAGGTTTCATAGAGAACTACATTTAAAAACTTAATTTTAAAACTACATTTCACAGTAACGAACTTCGAACAATTATTTCATTCCATAAAGTGATTTCATTGCAAACTGTTCTCGTAATTGCGAACTATATTATGTTAGCTGTCTACTTAGGTGTATCATACCGAAGATCTGAGACGTGGAACTTGGGGAATAGTTTGTTTGTTTATAGGTCGGTTATCTATCGATCTATAGCGACCTATAGTTTAGTATAACTCCTTATGATCTTAACGAAGTTTCTAACAGAAGTGATTTAGAGTTGCTTCACGATTGTTACCATTTAACAGAAAAAATGAGCCTCATTTTACATCAATTTCTCTAAAAAAGGAAATTAGAGATTTTTGATGAGTAGAAGGTTACCACATAAGCTAAATTTGTGGAGAAAATTTAAATATCAAAATTAATGTTGTCAGCAATTATAAATAATGAACTATACATTCCTAAACTACCATCTTTCCAACATTGGACATACTTTGGACCAAACTTGTCGACTTTGTAATGAGAAGTCAGAGACTGCTGAACATATTCTAAGTCTAAGAGACAAAATTTTCGGAAAGGTTTGCCTGATACCTACTGACATAAAGGAATAGGACTTTGGAGCAAAAAATACTCAACATTTTACTGGAATGCAAATGAATGTCAATAGCACCAGAAGACCGTGAATGAGAAAACAATTAAGTCTGGAGTAAGCTTCCAAAATCCTCAAGCTCTACCGACAAAAAAAATTTAAAATCTTCTTGCAGTTTGTCATTTGCCCAAAATTCATTCGGAATGAAAACAATGTGTCTAAATCCTCAGAAACAATTTCTTCCATCTTAATTAATCAAGATGGAAACGGGCCAACACCGATACAGTTGCCCACAGATTATAAAATGAATTAATCAAAAATTTAAGAGTTAAAATAGCATATAATAAATCATGATATCACATTAACAAAATACTCAAACCAGACCAAAAGTTTCATACTCCATTTTTTTCTTGTTTTTTTATGCATGCATATTATTGATTGAGTCTCTCCCGAGATAAATAAGGATTTGCAAATATTAATTATGGTTTTACCTACACGATGAAATCAGTTCCCTCAAATTTAAAATATTTAAATAAATAAATAATATATTATATAATAATAAATATTCTAATTTTATTTATTTTTTTTAGAGCAACCAGAATTAATAGTCCGTGCCGAAGAAGTACTACTCGTGGTCTTGGTTTTAATGATATGGGTAGCCGCCATCGCCCTATTTTTCAATCGTTGGGGCCAAATTCGTACTCTAGAACCATATCAACCCAAGTTCCAGCAGAGTCATCATAGGACATCGTGTCCACTAGCACCATTGAGTTCACCACACATCACTCCTCAAGTAAATATGTATTTGCATACAATACTTAGTTGAAATTAAAATCGAAAATCCGACCATGACCAAATTTAAAGCTCGAAGATTAAAGAGTTTCACTTGTCACTAATACATGAATCAATGAATGCTATGTCATTTGTTAACGTAATTCATCTTACGACACGCAATCGAATTCTTTCAGATCATAACCTACTTTATCTACAAGAATAATTAATATTTGACCATGGCCACATTTAATAAAAAAAATTAATAATTATCACTTGTATTCATAAAATATATATTTTATAACAACGTATTCTCTCCCTTGAACCCGAAGCGATGTAAACACGTCCTTACGTCTCATTAAACAAGATATAGTATACATGAGTACTTCCCAATGGGAGAGACAAACATGTTAAACCTTTAAATATTTAAACGTGTTAAACAGAACGTGTTAAGAGTTTTCTCAAGCGACCTTCGTTCTGCGCTAACAATGCCACAAACTTAATTTGCAATGATACACAACGCAAACTGTCAATAAATAATCTCTTGAATAAACGTTTAAAGATAACAAAAATCGTATTGTTACAAGAAATTTAATGAACAATATGACGTGTTAAGATTAACTGAAATAAACAGAAACAGAAACAAACTTTTATCCTTGTTTTTCGTTTTTCTTTGCCGATATCTTCGTCGGTATTGTCCTGTCGATATCATGATATCAACACCTCAAAATTATCAAACTTCAAGTCATACTTTATCAATTTGTAAAGAACACACATTGGACTATCTACATTTTGGTTTTGTACGGTCAATATCTAAAGCCGATCAAATAACTAAAGCTCTTTCTATCGGTGCATAACAGAAATCGAATGTGAGATTTCAAAACCATTTCTATTTGTGAAAACAGTCTTACCGACGCGTATTTGAAGCGTATTAAATCACTTTCGGGATAATAATTTTCTTATATGATACGAACAAAACTCCAAGACCATGTGGACTCTATAGGAAATTTTCTGTTCTATGCAGTGGTGTATATGTTTAGTCGGTGGTATGATTGCACAAGAAGTTTTTTCTCCAAAAACTGTGATATACGTATGATTGCCTTATGTAAATGTTTACGGCGTCATAACTTTCTTATATGATATGGACATAACTCCGTGACCATATAGATTCTATAGGAAATTTTCCGCTCTATGCAGTGGTATATGTATAAGTTTAGTCGGTGGCAGGGTTGCACAAGAATTTTCCCCAAAAAACTGCAAAACCTTGTATAATTACTGTATGTATTTGCTTACGGCGCCATAACTTTCTTATATGATAGAACATATCTCCGAGACCATATACAATCAATAAAATTTTTTCACTTTATGCAGTAGTATATAACTTTAGGAAATTACGTGACTGCTCAAGTATTTTCCCCCCAAAAACTGCAAAAACCGCGTGTAATTACCGTATGTAGATGTTTACGGCGTCATAACTTTTTTATATGATACGGACATAACTCCGAGACCATATAGAATTGATAGGAAATTTTCTACCCTATGTAGTGGTATATAACTTTAAGAGATCGCATGGTTGTACAAGTATTTTCCCCCAAAAACAACAAAATCCCCGTATAATTACACTATGTAAATGTTAACGACGTCATAACTTTCTTATATGATACGGACATAACTCCGTGACCAGATAGAATGTATAGGAAAATTTCCGCTCTATGAAGTAGTATATAACTTTAGTAGATCGCTTGGCTGCACAAAAATTTTCTTCCAAAAATTGCGAAAACCGCGTATAATTGCCGTATGTAAATAATTATACCATCATAACTGTTATTAACATCATGATTGTGCAACTACACGATCTACTCAAGTTATACTACTTCATAAAGTGATTTCCTGGATGATTGTGATTAGTTTTTTGTTCCTATCAAATAAAAGAGTTGTATTAAGACAATATACCACTTCTAGGTGTAAGGTAGTTTATTAGGCATGGTTTTTGGCAGACGCATTTAGTATCCCCGTATTTAAATAGCCAAATGTATGTTCTTTTCAAATTGACAAAGCTTTTTTAAAAGTCGATTCCTTTACAGCTACACACGGTCTTGAAGTTTGATAATTTTGAGGTGTATTCCGTACACGGTGACTTTCTTTTTTTTTTCCCTCTTGATATCAAGACTTCAAGAAGATTTAGATGGTTTTAGATGAAGGAAAGTTTAGGCTTTCTAGTGGAGTATTTAATATTCCACTATCTTTAAAGTCAACGCAGATATCGGTTTGTAAACTAGGTAGAAAGTAGAAAAACAAGGGTAAAAGCTTGTAGCTGAGTTTTCGTTGTTGTCGTCGCAGAGGTCATTTAAACGTCAAAAATCTAATTTAAGTAAACTTAATTTACGTGTTATTTATAAATAAGAAATAATACTTAAAAAAAAAGTGTTTGCTTAAAACTGAAACAAATTTTAACAATTTGGACTACTACCAAGCATTTAAAAGTGATGGTTAAATTTAAATTTAACGCAGAACAGTAAAAGTTTGTTTATAATTTCGGTTTAAACGTAAAATATCAATTTATTCTGGGAAACGTATTGTTTGGTAGTTTACTTTCGAATATAAAATGGGTTTATGTAAAGTAGAAATTATTTTATTTAAAATTTGATTTATTTATTACATAACTATAAAATTAAAAACTGAAATTCAATAATCTTATAAATATTTAAGCAGTTTAATGTTTCGATTAATATCAACATTCAAATGTTTTAATTTATGTTTAATTTAGCATTTTTGTTAATAATTTATTTTTGTGATTTTTTCTTGCAGCGTATGTCCTTTTCAAAATACAACGTAAACTGCTTCAGTGACACTTACACAGGCCTTCCATCTCCGGTTTCAATCCGAAGACCTCGTTTAAATTCCGTATTCGTAGGAAGTTCAACAATGGCAATTTTAAATACACCACCAAGACGAGTTAAATCCGCCATCGATATCCAACACTTAATAGTTAACGAAAAAAGTAAAAGAGCATCTTTGGTAGGTTTCAATTCCATGATACCCATCACAAGCATTCATCATCGTTCCGAACGAAGGCCATCCATCTCAATAGAAAGACCGTTTTATGGTGGTAGAAGAAGGCCATCAGCAGCCATAGATCGACCAATGTTATCTCATTACCATTACGGCGGTGGGAGAAATCGAAGAACTTCTTGTTTCGTTGATCGTCGACATAAAAATTTTATTAGTTTCGATCAAAGCGAGAGAAAATTAAGTATAACAATAGAAAAAGTACCATCTAATGGGGATCAACAGAAACCAAATCAAAGTTCTGTTAGTTTTGATACAACAACTCCTTCCATATCTTTTGATTCGCCAACTGTTATTGTTGAACACGCAGAGATTAATCATTGCCGTAGTCAAAGAAATTCCTCCCACTCAACACCGAAAATGTCAAGAAGTTTTGAACAACCAACACCAAAAATGATTGTTCCAAGGATGTCAACTAGTTTAGATGTACAAACGGGCGGTGGTGAAAAAACGTCATCAGATTCATCATCCCAAAGAACTTCTTTGAATGCTGTTGAGTCGCAAAGTATAGAACCGAATTCTTCAGTATCAACAATAGACCATGATGGATCATCATCAGTTGTTGTTTCATTTGAAGATGCAGCTCCATTACTTGAAACGTTAAAAAGTTCCGATGTATGATTTTTTATTTTATTTCAAATTTGTCGGAAAAGATTAGAAGTGGAAAAGAAATTGAAAAAAGCGCACCAATTGTATAATATAAAACTAATAATTAAATTAAAGTTTAATACAAATTTAATAAAAATAGTATTTTGTGATAACAAAGCAACAGTCGAAGAAAAGAATTAAAAAAGAATACGATTTTTAGGTTACATTTTTAATTCTTTGACGCACCACAAACTAAAAGAAACCATCAACGCAAAATCATGAAAACTATATTATTGGGAATTAAAAAATGAGTTATCTATGTTGCAGTAATAATTAAAAATTTGCATTTTTTACTCCTTAGTAGGAATAAAAATAAAATACTCCTTAGTAGATGCAACTTGAATATTTCCTCTGATTTCATTTTTGATCTAGCTATATGATTTGAGCTATATTGACATTCATTCTGGTTACCTCAAAGAGCCCAAGAATTTTCTAAAATCCGGTGTACTTTAAAGATGACCACTTTCAATAGGATAAGCTAGAATCAGTGATTTAATCTTAATTGATTCTGAAGATACGATTCATAAGGAGCGGACAAAGAAAAGATGCCAATGTCCATGGATGTGGACAAAATCTAAAAACCTCTACTTAAAATATATGAATATATGTAACAATAAAATACAACCTAAAAGTTAAGAATTGTGGAAAGATTTTTCTGTTACGTGGATAAAGTTTGGATATTATTGGTCAGGAATTTCAACATGTCGACGCAAGTTTAGATTGAGCAATCGATAAAGTATTTCCAAATGTGGGAGGAACAAAACGTGACATAATCCACTTTTAACGCTATTGTCGATTTTTCGTTTATACTATTATTTTTTGTGTGGTGGCATGAATTGAATCAAAGAATGCAAAATCGGTATAAAAACTTAAATAAAACATGCATTTTTATTTACTAAATAACTACAACCAATACTCACCAAACATAACTTAACAGTTACAACAGCTCCTAAAGTAGAGTAATCTGCTAAAACCACAAAACAATAAATTGTCTTTATCTCGAAAACGAATCGATCAATTTGAAAAAACTTCCATTCAACTTTCCATTTAAGATTTTTTAAGATTTTAAGGGTTTGCTACAAGGTGCAAGTGGTTAAAGTGAGTAACTTCAACAACTTGCGCGAATGCGGGCTTGGCTTAGTCATTCAACCTTATGTCCACACTTTGTTTACCAGTTGGGTTGATAAAATATTAATTAAGGCACCTTGAACGCAAGTGGTCTCACTTTAACCTACCAAAATCAACTCAACCCAACCATTTTTTTTAGTTTCCTCCTCATGCCATTCTTTACGTTTTTAATAAAGGTCTTAAGCAACCCGCTATAATCCAACCCAACCTAATCCAACTCAATCCAAAACTGGTAAACAACATTGGGTTGATAAAGGATTAATTGGGACGCCTCGGCCGCAAGTGTCCTCGGCTTACTCGACCAGCCAGTTAGATTCTCAACTCTTATCTTTGCCTTCACACAGTATTTACCAGTTTTGAGCTGGTAAGGCATCAATTGGGGCAGCTCGACCGGGCTTAAGCTACCAAAATCATAGAATCTTCGTTCTAAGCTTAGCGGAGTGCACTTCACTCTGCAATTTATTGATCAGTTTTGGGTCGTTGTGGGAATAATATTGACGCCTCGGAATCAAGTGGCCACGACTTGATTAACTAGCCTCAACAACTTAAACTTAACAGAGGTCGCTTGCGACCGTGGCTCTACACTTTGTTTATCAGTTTTATGTTAATAAGGTATTAATTGGAGCTTGGCTTGATCATCCAGTCATAGATTTTCCAGTTTTAACTTAGGCAAAGTCTCTTACGGCCAAGATTCTGCAATTTGTTGATCAGTTTTTGGTTGATAGGTATTAATTGCAACAAATTTCGCATTCTATATATAGCCTCTCTATATAGGTCACTTGCGGTTTAATGGAATGTAAGGATGATAAATTTATTTTATAGGATGAATTGTATTAATGGACAATGAAGTTATCAAGAACTATATTTAATGGCAATTTTCTAGTTAAAAAGAATTGTGGATCCAATTTCATATCAACAATATTTCTTTTCAAAAAATACTTTTCCAACCAAAGCTGTTGATTCATTGATGTGGTTTCAGAGAAACCGCTCTGTAGAATATCAATGAGAAGCTTATTATTTTCTTTTTAAATAAATTTGTAAATAATTAGGAGAACTAGGAGGTCTTTGATGTCTTTCAACATCAGTTTCTCTTTCTGTTCATAAAAAAAGTGAAAATCTGATACGGTTATACGAATTAATTTCGTGTAATGATAAAAATTCTTATTCATAATTTAATAGAATGAAGCTCTTTTAACGTGATACGGTTGCTACCTGGCGTTATTTATTATATTTAATTGATAATAATTATATTTTTGGCACTTTTTGGTTATTACTGCGATATATAATTATAAATTGTAAGAAGAAATGATTGAACACTAAAACTCTTTCAAAGGTTAATTATTTATTTCTGTAAAAAAAAGTGCATTAAAGGATTAAAATGTATGAAAAGATCTTATATTATCATGTAATACGTCTCTGATGTTGAGGTGCAAAGTGTATCCGACAAAAATTGCTCATAAATGGATTTTAATGGCTCGTCATTTCCTTTTCAATTGTCAATTGCTTAAATTGTAGTTACAAAATTTTACTTATAATTGTAAGTTCTTTTACAATTATTAAAACGATCGTGTCAATAATAATCGTTATGAAATTAAGATAACATCCCAACGTTTTTTAGAAAAATTGATATAGGTTATTGATTAATGAATTATACGTAAACATTATAACATTCGAGGCAATTTGTTAATACAAATTAAGTAATCGGCAAATTCTCTTTGAACATTGAACGAAAAAAAAAGGAAACAATGTTAGTGCCTTCGCGAAATTCCATGCAATATATACTGTCTATTCTCAACTTTGCATAGTTTATTATATAGATTTTAAAAAAACGTGTTATGTGGCAATATATTATTAACAAAATGTTCTAAAACTATTTACGATTCGATGAAAAATCAAAGGCATTAAAACGGTTTTTTATTTTTCTGCTAATTACGGAAATCATAACAGTTTTTTAACGAATCGTAAACAAATTACTACTTAAAATAATAAATAATTGTTCGAATAATTCTAATAGTGTTATAAAATGTACTAATTTAGAACAACTATGATATAATAATACAAAAAAAAAGCACAGAGTCCCTCCGATTTGTACAACAATAATGAAAAAAAAAATTAAAAAAATAAACACTGAAACGAAGAAATATTTATTATAAAAAAATTTAACCAGCAGATCAATTATTTGATGAAAATTGAGTGTTTCTTAGGAATTGTGATATATATTTATACGATATACATATATATTGTGCTTAAATAGGACCAAAATTAAACCCAAAACAAAAATATCGAGATCAATTTAACCCTTTATAAATATTTTTAAGTACTTCCAGTTGTTTTTCATAACACAATTAACCCATAAAAAATAAATTGAATAAATAGAAAAAAAATCCCGCAAAATAATAATAATAACATTAAAGAAAATAAAGTCATAAAGGGTTAATGATTCTCTAATTTTGTTATTTTTTGCACACGACCTCACCGGATTTTCTATTGCATTCACTTGATATAGTCTGTCGGGATCGATAAAGAAGTTTATGAATGAACAAAAGCTCTAAGAAAATATTCAGTGTCGAAACGAATTGTAATTTTCATTCTATTTTGAAGAAACATACTAAAAAATATTTGTATATTTCTATGATAAGGGACCTAAGCTCTACTACATATTAGATATCGTATTTTTTAGATTGAATATTTATTACAATATATCACTGTCGTAACGATATCATCGATTCGACATCGAACAATGAAAACAAAAAAAAAAGTTGTATTTAATCGGAACCAATATTATTCTCGTACGATATGGTTATAATATCGTTGTATAAAAAAGAGTTATTGTGCGATGTATACTTTACTATGACATGTACTGATATTGTTACTATTAGAAAATTATTATAAAATATATATCTATTTGATGAGATAATAAATTATATCTATGCTAAAGAAATTGTTTAATTTCAACGAGAGAGAGAGAGAACAAAATTTATTTAAAAAAACGTTGACCCAAAAGGGCTATCGATCGTAATCTTTTTGCGCTAATTTCAATGATTTTTATGATCACTTGCACAAAAACACTTTTCTTTTTAACGTTGTGAATCAACTATTAAATTGTTATAAGAATATAAATCTGACACTTTATGCTTTAATTTGATATAAAAGTCGGTTGTAGTATCCTATAAATAAAGTAGAAGTGTCTTTTTAAAACTTAATACTTTTAGAGGTCATTCATAATAATCAATTCAAAATTTATAAGAAAAAAATGTTTTTCTGGTTAATTTTATGGATCAACTTATTAATCGTTATACAGGGTGTTTCGGTGAGTCGGGGAACAAATGTAACCTAGTATACTAGAGTAAAAATGATGACGATTCATGTAAAAAAAATTAGTAAAAGTCCTCAAATTGCAAAGATACAGGCCATCAAAGTTATGAAATTTTAACACATTTTTCTAAATATCTTAAACACTATTTATGGTAAAGCGTTGAAATTTGGTACAGTGTAAACTAATATCACGTAAAATCATTAGGCAATTTTTGAGTTGGATCGGTACTCGGGAACAGTGCTATAGAGGTGTCTTTAAACTTTGATTGCTCAGAACTTTTTTATTCTATCATAACCCTACATTTATTTTTGCAGTTTCTAATAGTAAATTTAGTTTAGAATCTTTTATCACTCTTAGAGAATATTGATAAAAACCACCGTTTTCGTATTAAATGCAAAAATGTTAGGCTCCGAATTGAATAACACTAAAAAAAAAGAAATAAATAAATAATCTGAATTGGCAATGACAAGTGAAAATCGAACTGAGCTGTCATAACTATTATGTATGCAACATATCCAAGCGTAGATTTTGCTAAATCACATTTTTAATTTGTTTTAGTTGGTTTAATAAAAGAATTCG